AATTGCTTGCTCATTTTAAGAGGTCTTTCATAATTATAACATGCTATTTGATATCAAATCAAATCACTTTTATTGTCACGTCACATGTGCAGGTACACTGGTACAGTACATGCGAGTGAAATTCTTGTGTGCGAGCTTCACAGCAATAGAGTTGTGCAAAAATACAGTAATGTAAAAACAAGTAAAATATAAAAATGGCTAATCTAAGTATACAAATGAATAAAGTAAACAATAAGATAAGAGATATAAAATGTACAGAGGTTGGTATGTGCAAAACAGTGGCATTAATGTACAGTATGGAGCGTGTAATGTTGGAACTTGGTGGAGCTCGCGACGAGGCAGCCATACTCGGCGCCATCTTGGCTCATCAATATATGATATAAAGGTTTACAAACACAAAAGGGTAATTTATTAGAGTACTCGATTAATCGAAAAAAAAATTCGATAGAGTACTCGATTACAAAAATATTCGATAGCTGCAGCCCTACACACAATCCTTTCAAACAACAACAAATTTATTTGAAGTGCTTTTATAAATTAGTTTCTGAGATACACTCATTTAAATAAACTATTTGTAGCTAATTTTTCAGGAGTATACAGTTTTCCTAATCTCTCACTAATAATAATAACAATAATAAAGATTATTGCATTAATATATACGTGAGGAAACAGAAACTGAAACTTAATCACCCGGTGCTGTAATGGCGTCAACTGCTTCGAGGAGGGAGGATGCACCATTTGGTAGGTCCATGATTTGTTTAAACATTTGTAATGGTGTGCGTGTGTTGGGAGTTTGTAGTAGGTGTGTGATGTGTGTAGGATGTGTTTGTCAAAAAGTATCATTGCAAAAAAGCACAACGCTCCGGGACATGTTTAGCGTGTAAGATATTAGTGTAAATCCTCCGGTTTAATATGCAAAAAAATAAATAAATAATATAATTTCAATTCTACAAGCATTTGAACACAGATATGCAAATGGGAGCGCCGGCGCTCCTGCCGGTCTCAAAGGGCTAAGATATTCAGTGGTACTGGAAATGCTTACATTTAATTTCTACTACTAAATTGGAATGGTGACATATCTATTATGTACAGGTTAGCAATAATATGTTTTAAATAATTTTTGAAAATAGACATGGTTGCAAATAAATGCTACAGTGGCTTGCCATATTCCTGCACACTGCATGGAGCAGACTTGAAGCAGCAACCTGACTTCGGCGGTTCTGCTGCATAGCACTGCCGACAGCTAAGAATAAACAGTGCTTGTGTGTGTGTGTATATATATATATATATATATATTATATATATATATATATATATATATATATATATATATATATATATATATATAGTAATAATGGGTAGTTTACATCTTACTTATGAACCTTAAAATGTGAGATTCCATAGAAATATGAAATATCAATCTGATAGATCTTTGAATATTTTAACCAGAAGATCAGAACTTTTTATTGCAGTGATTACTGGACACTTTCTATTAACTCAGATAAAAGAGAGAGTCAGGTTTATAATAGTTAAGAAATTTATTTCTACACAATTTAAACAAGTCTAACTGTAAACACTCTGTGTACTGATGAAACTAGGTGGAATTAATTAATTAATCTAGGTGGAGTTAATCAATTTCCCTCTGGGATTAATAAAGTATTTTTGAATTGAGTTGAATGAGACGTGAGATGAATGGTGTATGTGTGGAATGTTGTTTTCAGAACTCTCATATCCGGAGAAGCAATTAGTTCTGAGTGGGAGCGAATGTTTCGCTCTAAACTATGGTTGGTGCCATCTGTCGGTCTACGTACCCACAGGCGAAGCCTCCGTTCAGATCCAGAATGTCGAGGTCCGTGGACCTTCCTTGGTACTGATGCCGGTAGAGACAGCAGCAGTGCCGACCAGACTAGTCTTGGAATGCTTCCAGGTCACGACAGGTTATTATTGGCGTCAGCGAGACCCTGAAGGGGTCGTGAGGTTCAGCTTTTATTCTGAAGGAACCGCTGCGGTCAGGTGTAACGTGCAACAGATTTTATCCAGCTTGTCAAGGTTCTTATGGTTGTAAAGGTTCCGGATGGCCTGTCCGAAACTTCTCTAGAACGCTTTGAAGTGAAGTAAAGGTGACGTGGGAATAGTTTTTATAAATGTCATATTTTGGTTTACTGGCGAATCAGAATTTGACATGCAAAAGAGGGCTTATACAGACACCACAGAAAACCACGCCTTACATCAGAAACGTAGGTTCTAATTGTATCAGACAAAAGGAAATGTGTAATGTGACTTAACATAACTCTGTGTCAACGTGTCTAGTGCAGCTGTCCAAAATTATAATTAAGTACTACTATTACGTCCCCGGCTCTCTAGGAGAGATGAGGAGGGGAGTAATGAAATTAGTGTGTGGGATAAATAATAACAGAGTGCTGTGTCGCTAAAAAACAAGGGATTTATTACAAAATAAATGGAATATTTACAAAGAATCCAAAAAACAATGCTATATACAAAACAAAAGAAGCTATATTTAAAAAGGGAGAAACTGAAAACGCCACCCCAGAAGGGGGTGGGAAGAAAACCGAGAATAATAAATATATATATTCAAAAAGGGAGATCCGAGGTCAGGGTCTTAAGCTGGTCCGAAGTCTATACACCAAATGCTCTAATCCTAAATCCAAATCCGAAATCCTATTGAGAGCAAACCGAAGACTAGCGAGTGAACCGAGTTGTACCAAAAGCGAACCGAAGAGAAGAGAATAGTATAAACTGTTCCCAGTCTACATACCCTTGAACTTCTCCTCGAACTGGTGGCTGGGAGCAGCTTTTAACTGCTGCCAAGTGATCATCAATAATTTGGAACAGCTGGGCACCGGGAGACAGGCGAGACACAGGCCACTGAGGCCATCTTGTGGCCGAAAAGGGACACGGCACGTAACAACTACTGATCACAGGATTATAATATATAATATATAATATAATATATATACATGTATATATATATGTATACATGTGTATATATATATATATATATATATATATATATATATATATATATATATATATATATATATTAGGGCTGGAACTGGATTAAAAATTTTAATCTAATTAATTACAGGCTTTGTAATTAATTAATCTAAATTAATCGCATTTTAATTGTTCAGGAAAATGTGCTCTCAAAGTAAAACTTTTAATTAAAATTATGAGACAGAGAATCAAACATTAGACATGGTTATTACTGTAAACTAAAGCTTTTAATTAAAAAATGCATTTTAATTATTCAAATGTCACTGTGTGATATGAAACAAAACCCAAATCATCTAAAATTTATAATTCCAAATAGAAAACACCTGCAAAGGGTTCCTGAGCCTTTAAATAGTCTCTCTATCTAGTTGAATGACTGAAATAAGTTTGACTTTGCACCAGATTCTAATTTTTCCAGTTTCACTTGTTTGTATAATTGGGAGTTTTTATCAACATTTCTACTCATAATGTAGTAAAGACACATAAATAATAATCCTTCAAAATGACAGTAGAACAGGCACAAATGTGATCTAGGACTTAAATGTACTAACTTTTAACACCAGAGCAGGCATGGCATATTCTGAGAATGATCAGGAACACTAACTGGTTCCAGTTGGATGACTGGAGGATGATGGGAAGATAAAAGATCATGGCGAGGAAATAATGATCTGACAAACAGGTGAGCAGACCTTCCTTACATGGGAAGTCCTGCTGTCACGTTAAGAAGGGGATGCTGCACACCCACAGATTCAGGCCTGCTGCAGCGAATCTGGTGTGATCTCCAGCCTGATCACAACTTCCTCGTTCCTCGCTGCCCCTGATGCACTTAAGCATCCGCCCCTTAGCTGATGACAGCTTCAACACACCTCGCTGCTTAATGATATTAATGCATGTGATGTTTAGACAGTGACTCGTCTCAGAAACGTATAATTCCCCGACAGAATTGTTTAGAAAATCATCAGAAAAGTTTCAGAGTGTTTCTGTTTTAACTTAAACTTCTGTTATCAACTTTAAGACATGTCTGTGATCAGAGTAGTGAGAACACGGAGCGTTCTCCCAGCGGCAGCCAGGTGCCTCTCGTTTGTCTGACTACTTTCATAAACTACTGTTAGGGCACAGAATTATTCTGGCTGGTGCTTTCAGCGCTGCACAGATGTTATGTAAATGTTAAAAATATAGCTTACCGCAACTTTCGTCAAGTTTCCCGTGCCACCGGGCAGCCGCAGCAGAGACGATCTCTGAAAAATTTCCGCGACACGGACTCTGTTGTTGTCTGGAAATTTTTTTTCCAAGTTAAGAAAAGAGGCGGACGTGTTTCCTAAATCCTGCATCAGTCCAAGCAAGGCAACTTCTTTCTGTTTTTATTCCGTTTTAGTAGTCATTAACACTGTGCATTGTTGTGTGCATCAGTGATATTCAGTCTACGAAGAAATCGTGCAATGACAAAGGTTCCGCCGTGCTTGAAATGCAAGCTGCGATTAAAAGCGCTAATTTTTTTAACGTGTTATTTTGTTCTAATTAATTAATCGTAATTAACGTGTTACAGTCCCGGCCCTAATATATATATATATATATATACCTTCTCATTCAATATGTTTTCTTTATTTTCATGACCATTTACAAAGGGGACAACCAGTGCTAAACACCTCTGGGAACTTCTTCAAGACAGTTGGAAAACCATTTCAGGTCACTCCCTCTTGAAGATCATCAAGAGAATGCCAAGAGTGTGCAAAGCAGTAATCAGAGCAAAGGGTGACTATTTTGAAGAAAATAGAATATAAAACATATTTTCAGTTATTTCACCGTTTTGGTTAAGTACATAACTCCACATGTATTCATTCATAATTTTAATGCCTTCATTTAGAATCGCCCAATATAAATGGTCATGAAAATAAAGAAAACACGTTGAATGAGAAGCTTTGTCCAAACACGAGATTTTTTTAAATTCACATTAATCTACATTTTGTTTTGTCTTTTATCCTGTCCAGAACTTCCACAGAATCATGTCTGGGAAAACAAGATGGCTCTGACTGACCAGCAGCTCTCTAAACAGAAATGGACCTCCAGTTTGGACCAGAAGGAACCAGAACCTCCACTGATGAAAGAGGAACAACAAGAACTCCTTATCCATCAGCATGAAGGGCAGTTTCTTCTGAAGCAGGAAGTTGTTACCTTCATGGAGCCTTCTCCTTCTGAAGAAACATACTGTCATGAACCAGAACCAAACAAGAACCAACCCTTGTGTCAGAGTACTACAGAAGCTGAGAACCAAGATCAGGGTGGATGCAGGAAAGAAAACTCAGAATCAAACAGCAATGAAGAACTGACACGTAAAAAAATATGCCAATCCAAAGATCACAGAGACAGTGTAGATGATAAAAAACAAAAAAGGAACAAGAGTGCTCACACAGGTGAGAAGCCATATCCATGTAAAACTTGTGGTAAATGTTTTAGTGTCAGAGGTAACTTGACTACACACATGAGAACTCACACAGGTGAGAAGCCATTTCATTGTAAAAGTTGTGGTAAATGTTTCTCACAGAGTGCTGCTTTGATTTATCACATGAGAATTCACACAGGTGAGAAGCCATATCCATGTAAAACTTGTGGTAAATGTTTTAGTGGCAGTGGTTCCTTGACTAAACACATGAGAACTCACACAGGTGAAAAGCCATATCCATGTAAAACTTGTGGTAAATGTTTTAGTGTCAGTAGTACCTTGACTACACACATGAGAACTCACACAGGTGAGAAGCCATATCCATGTAAAACTTGTGGTAAATGTTTTAGTAACAGTAGTGCCTTGACTAGACACATGAGAACTCACACAGATGAGAAGCCATTTCATTGTAAAAGTTGTGGTAAATGTTTCTCACAGAGTGCTGCTTTGATTTATCACATGAGAATTCACACAGGTGTGAAGCCATATCCATGTAAAACTTGTGGTAAATGTTTTAGTGTCAGTAGTTCCTTGACTAAACACATGAGAACTCACACAGGTGAAAAGCCATATCCATGTAAAACTTGTGGTAAATGTTTTAGTGGCAGTAGTAACTTGACTACACACATGAGAACTCACACAGGTGAGAAGCCATATCCATGTAAAACTTGTGGTAAATGTTTTAGTGGCAGTGGTGACTTGACTAAACACATGAGAACTCACACAGGTGAAAAGCCATATCCATGTAAAACTTGTGGTAAATGTTTTAGTGACAGTAGTCACTTTACTACACACATGAGAACTCACATTAGGGCTGCACGATATTAGGAAAACCTGCGATATTCGATAACAGTGCTTAATATTGCGATATCGATATTACTCACGATAAATGAACAAATACTAAAGTATGCAGTGTTGATGTCTGGTGTGTGACGGCTGCTCTGGGTTTAAAGCAAACAAAAACTAATGCATGAATTCCATTACAACATAACATTTTTAGTGCAAAAATATGCAGCTGCACCTGCTACTGTATTAGCAGCAAAACAACAAACTGCATGCATGCAGTTTCTCAGTGACTTTAAAACATCACCACCACCATAAAACTTTTTCTGATGCTCCAATTACAGAAAAACATCCCTTACCAGGGTTTTTGAGTAAATAAAAAAAGTCAGAAAGTAAGTTTAAATGTTAAATAATAGTTAACATCACTTAAATGCAACAGCAAATTCTGTCATTGCTACTGAACATTTTCTCCACTTATGTGGTTATGATATAAGGCTGTTGCTGCAATTGGAAAGTGAACTGTGCTGGGCCAAACTAGGAGAATATTAAGATTTTCTGAGGGAAAGAGAAATCAATTGTCTACCTTTCAGAAGAGGAACTGGCAAAAAACTGCATGGAAAATATGTGAAAACGTTTGTTTTTAACCCCAAATTGAACAAGTTTACCTAGATCTTAAAAAGCAGCTCAGATGATGAAATTGCAACTATGATTCTGATAACAAGCTAACAAATTGAACTTGCTCCTCTAAGATAACCGGCTAGCAGAGCTTCTGACTGACAGTTTATGTGCAGCAGCAAATCAACTATCCTGATTAACAGGGTTATAAAAGTTCATAAATGAAAAATCACTTTGATGTGTGGGGGAACTTTTCCAGGCCCTTTTTAGCAGGGTGGGACTGGGAGGAGAGTGCTGTAGCCTTTTAGCTGGAAGCTAACCAGAGCCACCACCCGGTGGAACACTAGCAACATGGAGGTGGGTTTGTTCACCGGCACGTGTCTGAGTCAGCCCGGTAAAAATGATTAACGACACGGAGCATACTCGCGTTCACGTTTGAAAGCAGCGCTGATTCCAGAAACCTCAGCACAAAGTGCGTTCATTGCTCTGAACCAGCATGACGAACAAGGGAACGGCGCCGCTAATGTTCGGGTGTTGCTTTCCAAAAGGGTCTACGTAGGGGGCGGGCGTATTACGTTAACGGACCCATCTGATTGGCTGCATATCAGAAGGGCTACATTTGATTGGTCAAATAATACTTCCGCGTAAAAAACAGAGCTGGTTTACAAAAAGTTGATGTATGACACGGATGGAAATGTTTGAACCAAACATTTATCGCCGTTTTTGACGTGCTTTGCGATGGGCCTATCGCACGTCCTGTTATTGCGATGATGATAATTTTCGATATATTGTGCAGCCCTAACTCACATTATATCATTGAATTTCTAAAGCCTCATACTCCAACCCGAGCCCTCAGATCCACAAACTAGAACCTTCTAGAAGTTCCAAAGACCAATTATAGAAGTCCAGGTGATGGCTCCTTCCAGACTGTTGCACCCTGACATTGGAGTGGTCCTCCTTTTAGCCTTACGTAGTCTTGACAGTCTGGACACTTAAAAAAAAACAGCAGAAGACCCTTTCATTTAAAGCTGCTATTTCTCAGTATTGTATTTTCTTATTTTTAACTCAAATTTGTAATCATCTTTCCTTTGTTTAATGGTATTTTATAAATATGTGACTTAGATTTTTATTTCTGTTTTAAGATCACTATGATTTTATGACTTAATGATTTGTTTTGATCTATGTGAAACACCATGTGATTTTCTGTCTGTGATGAGTGCTATATAAATAAAATGTACATACATGTGAAAAGCCATATCTAGGGATGCTCCGATCAAGTTTTATGCTTCCAATCACGAATTCAAAGAATGTTGATTACTGATACCGATCACACAGCTTGGCCAATAATTTCCTGTGAAGTTATGAGTTCTACAGATATGATCTGGGCATAAAGGAACAATAACATCCACTAAAATGGCCTATATTAATTAGAAAGAAAAGGAAACAATTTTTATATAGCTCCTCTCAAGATAAAAATCAGAGGCGCTTGACAAAAACAAAACATTTTAAATATAAAAAAGATTTTGAAAAAATTCTAAAAATTGTGATTAAAAATGTAAGGAAAGGGAATGCGAAAACGAAGAGGAAAGAGAGAAATCGGTGGATCCCGGGCAGAATAGGGATGGTGATGATGAAGGTAACATCAAAGCCAGCCTGAACTGGTGAGATTTCAGCTGCTTTTTAAAGGAGACCCCTGAGTCCAATGATCTCAGGCTCAGGGGGAGAGAGTTCCCAGCCTGGTGCGCTGCACAACCAGGCTTTGGTCAATGGACCTAAGTAGGGCTGAAACGATTCCTCGAGTACCTCGAATAATTCGAGTACAAAAAATCCTCGAGTCAAATTCTCTGCTTCGAGGATTCGTTTAATTCATATTTAATTAATTCATGGCTTTGCAAACGCACGGGGTCATGTTTCACCCGGACCGAAATAAGTGACGCACATGCCCACTGGACTGAATGCACACGGGAGTAGCGAATGTAACTTAACTTTCTCTTAAGCCATGGCGGACAATTTGAACCCCGGTGGAGTGCGAAAAAGACAGAAAATGTAAAAGTTGTGGAACCATTTTTCACGTCGTAAGGTGGAAAACATAGTCCAGTATAAATACTGTAAAATGGATCTAGCTACCACAACACCACATCCTCGATGCTGCAGCGCCTGTAAATGTCACTTCTTTTATTTTATTTTTTATTTATTTATTTATTTTTTTTACCGTGTCCTGTCTGGCTGTGAAGCAAGCAGAATTGATGTCTGAATGCTGGTGACAAGCCTTACAGATTTATTCTCAGGTGGAGCATCAAAGCGTTTGCTTTTAATGTCACGCCTGATACTTAAAACTTTATTGTTATTGATGCTGAATGCTTTGTAATTCCGACCAGACACGGAGACAGAGGTGAAAGAGAAAGGAAAAGAAAAGGTGGGGAGAGAGGGGGGGGGGGGGGGGGGGGGGGGGGGTTCCACAAAAATAAACAATAATGAACAAGAGTCTGCTTCTAGACCTGCAGAAAAAAGACAAAAGAAACAAAGGGACACAAAAAATGGACACAACAACAATACAACAAGATCTACCTCTCACTGCGTCAACTTGATGAAAAGAAAAAAAATATATATATATAATCAACATTGCTTAACTGAAGAATCACGATAATAAATCACAACATATTAAGTGCCCACCATAGTCTTAAGACCTGTGTTTAACGTGCCCAAGCCCATACTTTTGAGAGCACCATGTGAGCACCTGTGTGTGTACACGCGCTTGTTTATTTAAGGTTTTTCTATAGGAGCGCCCAACAGAGAGTGTGAGGGACCACAGATCCGTCCCCCAAAGATGCGCAGGAGACGGGGGGGAGCTCCAAGTCCCAGAGATCCAGGCGCTGCCCCAGAACGCAGGAACCCCAAGGAGACTGCAACCAGGAAGGCCCCCGCCCCCCTCGAGAGGCACAGAGGATCGCCCCGGGGGGCCACAACCAGCAGCCGGCAGAGTCCCCGGAGATATCAGCGGCAAGCCCTCAGGCCCGCCCGCAGCCTCCCACCCCCTAGCCGGCCGAGCCCGGGACCCAGCGACCCGGGACCCAGGGGCGACCACCCCCGCCGGGGACCCAGCAGAGCCCAGGGACCCAGACCCCACCAGGCAGCCACCGGGATCTAACAGGCAGATGCCAAAATGTTAAACCCCCCCGACCCGGTTGCCACGAACACTCAGGCAGACCAAGGCACAAGCCCCCACACCAGGTGTGGCAGGGGGAGGGGGGACAGAGATCTATATCATCAAGAGAAGTTCCAGGAGAGGGGAGGACCCAAAGGCCCCACCTGACATATACAGTCATACACAAACACAGTCACACGCTCCCTCCCTCATGCTCACACATGCACATACAACCCAAGACTTACAAAGATGCACGCCGGACACCCACTCATGCTCCCCATACACACCCTATTCACTCTGGTCCCGGTACTGCTGCACATTGGGTACAACCATCACCGGTAACCAGAGTTTGACCCTTTCTGCTGGGGTGCTGATGAGCAGGCTCCCCCGCCCAACGCTGAGCACAGCAACCCACCACCCCAGACCCCAACCAGACGGCCAGATCTCCCTCCTAGCCTCCAGCCCCAGGAAGCCCAGCAACAACAGAGGTGGCTAAGACCCCTAGTCTCCCTCCGCCTGCTCCAATATAGTGTTGTGTGATCATGAGGTGTATTCCATGGCTGTGGTGAGTGGGCAGTGCGGGCATCATCCAGCATATGCCAGCTGATGCCACCGCACCACCCCACTTACACCCTCAGCCATCAGTGTCTAAGTGCGGTTTAAAATTGGAAGTGGGCACCGGCACTCGGGAGGAGGCTGAAATATCCCCCTGCCAAATGCCGTTGAATGTGCTCACTCCCAAGGCCCTAAGTGTGTGTTTGTGTGGAATGTCGTCAGTGGAAGTGTATAAGGTGCAAATAAAATTGGGAGGCAGGTTTCCACAGGAATGTGGAAATGGGGTCCATACCCGCACTCCCTGACTTGCCCACCCCCCAAGGTCCTATGTGTATGTTTGTGTGATGATGTGAGGGAGCAGGAGGAGAGAAATATGCGGGGATGGGGAGGAATGGCTGGTTGGGCTTAGCCCTCCAGGGAGCCAGCTCCCCTACTGGCCCCAATAGGCACCTCTGTTGTCCAACTGCCACCCAGGGCATGGAGACCCCAGCCCATCCTGCCAGGGCCCAAAGCAGCAGCATTACAGAGCCTCACGGAGTCCGAGGGCACCCACCCAGCCCCACCCCAGCAGAATATCTATGCCCACCCCTGCATTTGCACAACTTCCAGAATATATAAGACATGGGACATCCAGGTAAGGTTGGGTCCTCCCCCTCCTGGACCTCCCCCTCCCCTGTGATGGAACGGCAGAGGAGCCAAGGTCTACCTGAGGCCCCCGAACCCGGGCCAGGCACTGCTGGGTGTCCCTGCCTTCTTCCCGGCAGCATACATGTCAGGACCCGACCCCCAAGGCCCCGCCCAGATCCCCACACGGGGCCGGCCACCCCCAAACCCCGAGCCCCCAGGCCCCCACCCAGACCCGCCCAGGGGCATTGCAGCCACCAGGCAGTGACCCATGGCCGCCGCCAAGATCCCCAAGAGGCCCCACTCACAACCGCCAGCAGTCCACCCCCCGAGGCAACCCAAGCACCTCCAGAGGGGGGCAACGGCCCCCCAGTCCCAGACCCCCCCGTGAACCCACCTCCAGGGAACATCCGGATACTCCAAACTCAGACCCCACACCCCCCCACCCACACCATCCCGCAGGACAACATCAACGGCCCCCCACCCTCGCTATGTGATGGAACCGATCAAAGGAGCCCAGAGAGATTCGTCTGAAGTGGAAGCAGAGGCTATATCAAGTGCAATATGATCTAACAAAAGATTTCTACACTGGTTAATGCAGAGACTTTCTCTATTTTTCCAATTCAAGAGGATAGTTTTCTTAGCGATGCACATGGCAGTCAGAACCACGTGAACCAAAGATGTTGCAATCGGGACATCGTCCAGGTTTCCCAGTAAACAAAGAGAGGGGGTGGTTGGGATATGACATTTCAGACATTTTGACAGATCCTCACATACTCTACCCCAAAATTCCTGGACAGGTGGGCAGGACCACAGTGCATGAATGTAATTGTCAGGAATGTTGTTTGTGCAGTGTGTACAGGTGTCAGACGACACAAACCCCATCTTGAACATCCGATGACCTGTATAGTGTACTCTGTGTAGAATTTTGTACTGAATTAATTGTAAATTGGGGTGTCTGATCATTTTAAAAGTTTTTAAACAAGTTTGGGACCAAAAGTCCTGGTCAAAGCTAACTGATAGATCCACCTCCCATTTTTCAATAGGGATTGCAATTTTATCGTCTATTTTGGACAGTGTCTTATATACTTTAGACAGTAGTTTGGGGGGTTTGAGATTATAAAAGTCTAATACCCTTGGTGGTGTTTGTAATTCTATTTTATTGAGCTTAAATTTTTGTTTGACTACAGATTTAATTTGGTGATATTCTAAAAAGCTATTCTTATCCATTCCAAATTGGGAGACTATTTGATTAAATGGGATGAAGTCCAATCCTTCATATATGTGTTCCTGGTATAGGATTCCTTTATTTTTCCAGTCCGGAAGGTTCATCATTTTGTTGTTTTGCAAAATGTCAGGATTGTTCCAGATAGGTGTGCGTCTGCATGGTACTAGTGAAGACTCTGTCATTTTAAGATACTCCCACCATGCTGTCAGAGAGGTGCTGATACTAATACTTTTGAAGCTTTCATGTTTTCTTATGCTTGAGCTAATAAATGGTAAGTCTGAAAGCTCTATCGTATTGCAAAGTGTCTGTTCTATATCTAACCAGGACTCGTCTAATGGGTTATCTTGCAACCATCTTGGTATATATTGCAGCCTGTTGGCTAAGAAATAATAATAAAAGTTGGGTAAATCCAGTCCTCCTCTGTCTTTGGTCTTCTGAAGCGTTTTTAAGCTAATTCGTGGAGGTTTATCCTGCCAAAGGAATTTAGTAATTGAGGAGTCCAGAGATTTAAACCAGTCAGCTGGTGGTTTGTTTGGGATCATCGAGAATAAGTAATTTATTCAGGGTAAGACCATCATTTTAATTGTAGCCACTCTCCCCATGAGTGATATTGGTAAGGATTTCCATCTTGCAAGATCATCTTCCACTCTCCTTAAAAGTGGGATGTAGTTTAGTTTGGTTAGATCTGCTAACTTGGGAGAGA